CAATCTAGATCAATGTTTCTCAACCATTTTTTTTTACTTTGCCCTCCATAAGCCTGTTACGAGTAAAACTATATTATTATTACTAAATAGATAATTTACGTTCTAAATTAGACCTTTTTCGAATTGTTCTCCTCAAGAATCAAATGGCCCCCTTGTAGGGCGTAGGCCCCACTGAGAAACACTAATCTAGATCTTAACGATCGATGCATATTCGTCTGACGTTAAAGACTTGAATACATTCTCCTACAGACGAATACCTTGAATACTTTACATAACGTCATATTGGATGGACGCCTGGCATTATGGTCTGGGTTGCTATTGAATATGATGGGGCGATCCGACTAACTTGAAATTATAAGAACTATGAATAACAAGCTGCTCTTTAACAGTCTTACTCATCCTGAGATGCATTCTCGGAGGTTTACTTTAGTAATACAATGCCCATCCTCATATTGTTTGGAATGTACAAACCATCTTTAGTTCACAACAGATGACACTTCTTCTGTGATCTACACGTTCCCCGGATACTCCCTCATTCAACATATCTTGATTACATCGGTTGGCGATGGCCCTCGTAATTCAAAACCATGATCAAGTGAACAGGATGACAACTGAGTTTGCACCCCACTTTCCTATCTTTTACAATGTGACAACTTTGAGCCTCGACAGATTTAGCGTACATCAGCTCTTCTGCACGGTGGGTCTTCGGAGACACAACATTCCAAATATACGACTCGTCAGCATGGCTGTGAGCTTGCGACTATGACTACTCGCCATTTTCCGAAGTAATACACTAAGAATTTTTTTTTACATAGAATGAATTGAATTGCATGGCGATCATCCATAAGCCAGAAATTGCCCGGTTTTACTCCCATTCTTTTTCATATGTTCAAGTATTCTGAATCCAAACTCGTAGTAATGTCATGTGAGAGGTATGGCAAAAGAAACTGCTATTAAATTAATTTTGATGGAATAGGTCAATTATTATAAAAAAAAGGTATTATGTAGGGTTTGCAGCCCCAGGATCTCTGGATTTAATTTTTGTCTGAATTATATTTTGAAATTTTTTTCAAAGTATTGTGAATCTGGTATTGCATTTAATGTAACTTATTTACTTTTTTTGTACTGTATACGTTTAATGTTAGTTTTCTTACGTGTTGATCCTTGAAGGGTTCGAGGAGGGTGTGTATGTTAAACCGTGAAATTTCATGTTATCTCTTACTTTCTTCTGTAACTTTCTCCTCATCGCGAGTGGGTCAGAAAACGGACATTTTCCCCACCCTTAGGATGTGCGATGTCAGCTAACTTGGATAGAGGCATTTAGAATTTTGGAAGATATCTAGTAGGGTTTTCAGCCCCGGGGTCCCGGAATTCCAAAACCCCAGGATCTCGGTGTTTTTTCCAATCCCAAAATCCCGGGATTAAAATAACTAATTCTGGGATTTAGTTTTTGTCTAAATTATATTTAAAAAAATTTTTCTCATAAAAATTTTTGAAGAATTTAATTTTTTTAAAATTTATATTCTGTTTATGAAATATGTACGTAGAATTTTTTTGCGCTATTATAAGTGCTATATGTAAAAAAATTATATGCACAATATGGGAGAATGTCATAATATGGGAGAATGTGTAAGCAACATCACAAGAATAGATTTTGTGACAGTTCCTTCAATTTAAATGCCGTTAATTAATAGCGGATCTGCTTGGAAGACTTAAGACACCTAAAATCCCATTGCATTACAAACAGCTCATGCAACTAGATCTTCAGTTTCAAATGAGGTAACACTTGAAATTGATTCACATTCTGATTCAATAACTGGATCAGTTTATAAACAAAAACCATTAAGTGTAGCAGAATAACTAAATAAAGTTATGAAAGAGGTATATGCATCAATGCAGTGTATTAGATTTGAGACACTGTCATCAAAAATTCAAAAAGAAATGCCTCCTTTTTGAAAATGGAGGGAGACGTACTTGAAAAGAACATATTCCTATTTAATGACGAGAATACCAACTAGTAAAGAATCCGAACGTGCATTTTCTTCGGCAGGACAATTTATAACAAAAATAAGAAGCCGTTCCAACGATGAAACGCTGGAGAGCTGTGTTTTTATAAGCTTATTTACAGAAACACAAGAAATGAAGAAATGCTTTTTTTTTAAATTTCATTATGTACTATTTTTATTTTTTTATGATGAGTAAATTTTTCTTTTATTTGTTTCATTAAAATAATATTAAATCAATTTTTAATTATATTTTCAGTTTTATTATGCAATATTAACTATAGTTATATGTAAGTATTTTTAATAAATAGTCCAATCCTAATCTCGGGACCAATCCCGGGATTTTGATAATCTAATCCCGAAATCCCGGAATTGAAATTATGACACGGGATTGCAAACCATAGTATTATATGCTCTGATTTTAGAAATAAGAATTAAACACTTCCAGACATATCAAATGGTAATCATTTTAGTAAAATTTTTTAAAAAAATAGCGTGCTAGGTTATCAAATAGATCCTAAAAATAAGAATTTTTAAGTGGACAATACCAACATAAACCATTACGTGCAACTCATTTCACTCCTTTGCTGGCCCTCAAGTGGCCGCGGTAGCCTAGAGGTCAAGATAACGGACTCGTAGCTGGTGTGTCATGAGTTCGAGCCTAGTACCCTTGTAGAGAGGGCTGATTCTCGTAATATGTAGATGATCAAATATTCTCCCGTTGGTGTTGTGTGGAAGTTTGGAAACGGGGTGCTGGCTCAGGTGTCCTCCTCGTCACTTGACCATGGCTCAATTACGATTACGAGGTCCGTCGTGAATAGCCCTCGAGCAGCTTTACAGTACGACGTAAATATAACTCTCACTCACTTTACTGGCCCTCAAAGCTTTCCTTCATCACTTTTTAATCAAATTATACAAGAAAACAATCCATTTCATCTTTACAATTCATTTGAATTATATTTATAGAAAAAACATATTGTACTTTATTATTGAGTATGCAAATGCGTCGTTATATAATTATTCGTTTGTTTATTGAATTGTATTCGCCTTATTTGGGATCTAATAAAAGATCCGTTGAACAACTGGTAATTTTGAACGACAATCAGCAGACGAAGTCGAAATTTGAGTAAACACACTACACTTCACATTCTTACCTAGCATTCTATTTCACATCTACGCAAAGACTTGGAGCCCTTTCCCGGAAGACGCACTGTTTATTGTGAAATCAATTAATCCAGGTACTTTATTTTTTCTAGTTCAAAGCTTTCTATTCATATATACGCTAGAATACTGAGAACCGAACTATTTCCGAATCCTTATCAACAGGAACAGCATGTTTTGAGTAAAATTAAGTGTTGGTACGAGAGCACCACAACGCTTGCGTTTTTAGTTTCGGTCACACATTACTTTAAATGCAATGAGCAAAAGTTTCCGTCGACACAATCATTTTTCCTGCCGCCCCGTGTAAACATGGTATAAAAAACATTCTCGCAAGAAAGGCTATAAATAGACACCGCTCTAATGGACGGTGGAAAGTTTTTATGCAAAGCACGTGTGCCGGATTTCTTTCAACAGGGCTGTCCCTGAATCGAACGAAAACAAGAGATCGGAAGTGAAAGTGAGAAATATTTCTGTTAGAATATCTACGAACAATGCTGAATCATTTGAATCACGAGTCACATCTTGTGGTAAGAAACTCAGAATAAAAAGTTGATTATATGTATATATTAAGGACATTTTTAAAAATATTTTTTTTGACACTTCTCGATATTTTAAAATCTTAAAAGTCAAATCGCGACACTTGTTTGTTCGAGCTAAAGTCGAGCTAACTGCACTAAAAAAGACGTCAAAAACTAGTTATTTTGAACACAGGATCGGGGGGAGAGATAACCTAATGGTCATAAACTTGTGGCAGAAGTGTCAGGAGTTCGATGTGTCCTAATGCCACTGAAGACACGCCGTGTAGAGGTGGTGTTGCCCGTTAAATCTGTCTATGCTGAAAGTCTTTTCGTTGGCGAATTGTGGTAGTTTGGAGAGTAGGTGACAGTTTAGGTATCGTTCTCGTCACTTGATCATGGGCCAAAATTACATCACGAGGCCCGTCGCCTCGTGTTGCTTTATAGTGAAACGTTTATAAACACTCCCTTGAAGGAAGGATCAAGGAAAAAGAACGACATTGTGTGTGTGTGGAGCTTTTACCTCACTCTCTGAGTTTCGCAGGTGGTCACGGTAGCCAAGTAGTCAAGGTATCGGATCGTGTCAGGCATGTCATGAGTTCGAGCCCAGTACCCCTAAAGATCTGCCGTGTAAGGAAGCGATGCACGTTAAATCTGTCGAGAGCTCAAACGTCCTCCCTTTAGTATGGTAGTTAAGAGAGGGGGGGGGTGCCATCTCAGGTGTTGTCCTCATCACTTGACCATGGTTCAAAATTACGCGGACCGTCTCCAAAAGCCCTCGTGTAGCTGAACAGTGCCACATTAGTAATCACTCACTCACTCACTGAGTTTCACAGACCTAGTTGAATTTTACATAAAATTGTTTCGGATAGCCTTAAGGATGGTCTTCAGCAAAATAGGCTAAAACCCAATATTTGTCAAGTGATTGATTTATTATTAACGTAGCCGTCTTCGAATTAACACGATGTTATTGGTGACGAACATCATAATTTTGAATCAAGTGATGAAAATGACACCTTGTGTGAGCTGGTACTGTAAATTTCCACACCATATGAAAATAAGAACTTGTAGCCGTTGCAGATTTGATGTGCATCAACGGAATCAACCAAGTCTTTGCTGTTGTTGTCGTCATGTATTTCATACTGGGATGCATACGAAAGACGAGAGATTGAGGAACAGAAACATGCATTATTAACACAGAAGAATATAGACTTTTATTACAAACGATGCTCCCAGTATAGCATAGAAGGGGTGCGCTGCTTTCCATTCGAGACGGGAATCCATTTCAGGCGAAAGTCCGACTTCTTTTCCCGAAGATACATCCCCACCTCGTTCGGAATTCGAACCCGAGCACCCTCGATTACAAGCCGAGAGTCACAACCACCATACTAGGTAGGGCAGCACGAGGTCTTCAGTGGCCCAATACTCATTGCGATTGTCAGGTTGATTTTATATTGTGCCCAAAACATTGCTACACAATATGATCTGAATAAAGAAATCAGTGCAAAAAATTTTCACTGATGCAAAGAAGAGGACGCGCAAATTACCTTAGAATTCTGACCACTCTACTCTAGGCTGGCGCAGTAGCTCATTGATTATGACCTCGAGCTTGTGGTTGAACTGGTGCCGTTTAACACCCATCGTGTAGAGCGGCTGATGGTCCTTGGATCTGTTGCGGCCCAAAATTCTCAAGTTAGCGGATGCGTGGATAGTTTAAAGTGTGTGGTGAACATTAGGTGTTTGCCCGCGATTCAAAGTAACCTGGTCCATCGACAATAACCTTCGCATTTCTCCTTCGTGTGTATAGCTATAAATATTTAATAATAAAAGCTATACTTGTGGCTGAGATAAGCATGTTTTGAAATCGGGTAGAATTAAGTAACTAAAAGAGAGAGAGAGAGAGAGATCAATAATTAGTGTTCATTTGGTGACTACAAGGGGAAGTAATTTTTACTGTACCCCGTAAGTTTTTAGAATTGGGAACCATAAAAACTTCTCGGCCTTCACTTCTTGAAAGTGTAAATAAGCCAAAAAAAGAAAGAAACTGCATCGCAACGAGCAATAGTGGTTGTGGATGTTGCAGCAAGCATATTCCAATGTTTTTAGGACAAACAGGATTATTTTTGTTGAGTGATATCTGTCATGTAACAAAAAAAAAGTACTCGCTAGATATTTATAGGCCTTGTTACTCTAACAATTATTTTCTGAATAAAAACAGCTGTAAATAAAGTTGAAACACACACACACAATCAGCTCTTTTTTCCTCGCTTTTTTTTATGAAAATAAAAATTTCCTCTTTTCCAACAAAAACTGTATGTTACATTGCTACGAATAATTCTTAGTTCATTTCGTGATAATTATCTTCTTGAGATCGTACAAAATTTTTAATTAGCCATTTTATTAAACGTGTTGCGTATCAAATTTCGATAAACAAAAACAACAGTCTTGAAAATTCTTAGATTAAAAAAGAATATAATAATTTGCTTTTAAAAATTTTGTTTAAAAAGAATATTTAAATTACAAAGTAAAATAGATTAATTTTTAATGAAGAATTTTCTTAATATTTTTAAAATTCTAAAGAGTAAAACCAAAAGCAAGAAAATACGAAAATGTTTCATTTTGCACTTATTTACATACATTGTGGAGTTTTTATTAAGATCGCTCTGTAAGGCAATACGAGGGCTACTGGTGACGAGCTTCGTAATTTTGGATCAAGGTTAATAGGGGAAGGGGGAGGGATCACAATGATATGGAGAAAAAATATTATTAATCGGAACTTATACTTAAACAAGAGAAGATTTTAATGGAGACAAAGGAGAAAAAATAATTTTAAAAATATCAAAATTTAAAATTGTCACACAAAAGGGTTAAATTTTCGAAAAAATGAAAAAGATTTAGTTTTAGTTAGATTATTTTTGACTGAAAATAAAGTTATTTTTCTACAGTATAAACAACCAAAAGTGATAATTACAAATAAGTACCTTGCAGTCTGACCCAAGTTTTATTTTCGTCTTACGCTTTAACGTGCACTGTAATTTGGGGGCGAAGGGGGGGGGGAAGGTGAACAATTTAATACTACGGAGAAAGAATCTGTTTAATGTACCTGACGTGTTTTTCGTAACTGTTTAGTATGCGTTCTCTCATCGAAATAAATGGTAAAAGACTAAAACTCTTTTCACCCATCCGATATAGTAGTTAGCGACGCTGTGTGTTGTGTGTGTGTGTGTGACTGCTGTGCCGTAGAACATGGTTTTGAATCCCGGAGCATGGATGTTTGTAAATGTATAGTGCCTTGGCAACATGGGGGTTCACTAATAGCCGTCGAGCCGCAAGTCCTCGTGTGAGGTTGGTGGAAGGGGAAGAGGTAGGAGGTCCTCTGCCCCATGGGTGTTCTCCCTCTGCACTAGGGTGGAACTGAGCGGAATCGTACTGCCACCTGTAGCTAGAAGTCAGTACTAGTATGATGCTAAAAGTCAACTTGTCTCAGACTCTTTCCTTCCTTTCCTTCGGGAAGGACAAGACACAACATCAACAACTAAAATTCTTGTTCTTCTTTAAGAAAAATTAATTTGACTTTTTACCATAAAAAAAGTTTAAGGTATCCGACTACCCTAAAATTGTGAATTTGGCCAAAAATTGACAATTTTTTTAGGATTTTATTTTATAGGCCATCTTATTAATTTTATAAAACGACCAAGTTTATTAATTTCTATTCATTAGAACAAACACTATAAGTATTTTAGTAAAAGCAGATGCCATTACTTTAAGCAAGATGTCATACTTTAGAACGCGTTTTACTCGAAATGTGTTTTTTTTTTTAAATGCTCCAACGGGGACAGCGATTGCTAAAAAAGTTTTAAATATAATTAACTGAAATTTTTTGTGTATGTTCTGTGTAATAATAGAAGTGTTTTAACCTTCAAATTTATCAATCATTCTTTTATTAAGAAATTTACAGTCCGTTATGTTAATGTCATCAGTTTTATTTTAAGAAATTTCGTATAATAACTAAGTGAAAGTGCTTTAGTTTTTGTAAAAATTTAAATATCTCTTCTCCTGATGGTCACTTAAGAATGAATAACATAGCAACACATCAGAATTGGAAAAATTGAAAATGTGTCCATAAACGTTTGGTACAGAATGGGCCGCGTTTATGTTATTTTTTGTCAATTTTTTCCCATTTTAGTAATAATAATTTCTTTTTCTCTTCTTAATGTTAGCATATTTTTCATAAAATGTACTGAACAAATAAAAAAAACAACAAAAAAATCTTCATATCTCTATTTAAAAAAAAAGTTGTCGCAAGTAGTCGGATACCTTAAATACCTAAGCTTCCTCCTCCTTGTGGCAGTACTTAATATAAACAATTTTCTATTTCATTTATAAACTATATAGGTAAAAAAAATTTTTTATCTAAAAAGGTAGATTTTGAAATTCTAGAAGAAAAAAAATTATTTTTGAACCTCCCTAATGGTCAAATGATATGTTTTACAGAACTAACATTTAAAAATGAGTCATATATTACTATTATTATCAATGCTGGTAACGCTTAATAGTTAGGAAATAACAATCTGGATTATTTCACAAAAGTGTACAGGTATATAAGAATCGTTTTACTCATAATTATATCTGATACATATATCTTAAATTATAATTTCTTGCTTTAGAGATTGTTTTCTGTTTCTGTATTAAACTAACCAACTCAAACAAAAGTATATTTTTCAATTCCTACTACTCTATTAGCTCTCTCTCTCTATATATATATATTTATTTCTTTATATATGTAAAATAAATGTTATTTATCTTGTACAAATTTTCAATCGTTTATAAAATACTTTATGTTCATCTAATCAAGTTCAAACATTTTTTAAAACTTGTAGTGGATGACCTTGATGTTAATTCAGTTTTTTTCAAATATTAATTCATTCATTAAATTAAATTAATTACCGGTTTTCTCGACACCAATTTAGATTTGTCTCCACTGTTGTAACAATATAACTCTTAAAACAATGACAAAAGCTGGCATCGAAAACCGGTTTTTCAACCAAACCGGGTGTGCATTGTTACAACCATGCAGACAAGTCATGCTCTTTTTTTCATTTCCTACTACTAATTCACTCTCTCCATGGATATATATATATAATATGTGTATGCATCTTGTGTGTTCAAATTTTCAATCGTTAATAAAATACTTTCTATTCATCCATTCAAAGTGGGAATTGACTTACAAATTTGTTTTTTATATTACTCGTTTAAAAGAGAAAGGCACATTAAATAATAGCGTTATTATGTTAATTTAGCTGATTTTAATTGCTCTCTCACATAGTATTGTTTCCTCATAATTCATCTTCTTTTTTCCAAATGCTGCCAGGATTCTTACTGTTTATTGTTGTCTTTGCGAGAATCGTAAACAATTACATTTGTTATTATTAAACATCTGAATTTTCTCTCTTTACCTTCTTTCTCTCTGTCCTTGTTGCTAATACAATTGAAACTCTTGTTATCATTTTGAAATTATTACATTATTTCACAGAAAATGACCAAATGATTATTGTCTTAATAATTATTGCTAATTATCTGAAACTGAACATTTGCATTAGGAAATGTAATTGTTGATATTAACAATTATTTTTGTTGCGTTTGCTTTCAAATCTGTTTTGTTTAGTGAAAACATTTTTAAAGGTTAGATTGATATTTTTTGGAGCAAAAATAAGAAATTAATTCATAATACAGAGACAGGATTGCAGGAATGGGATTGAGATAGATTAGTGAAAAAAATATATATACTAAATGTGATTGATTTCATTTCAAAAATAATTCTGATATTTATGTAATTAGTGCAGTATGATTAATAGTTATACGGTATATGTATGTGCTATATACTCTCTCACTTTAACACAACTTTTGCTCTCATTTAGAATTTTCAATGCATAATTTCCGTAATCCTTTTAAGTAATTCTGAACACACAAGTAATGTAATAATTTGGTTGAATTCTATTTTAGTTCACACCTTTATTTATCGCCAAGTTTTGTGAACTCTATTGGCTTGATATCCAACAGAGATTCAACATAGAAACACAAGGTGTAGGCGTAATTTGGTATTACTTTCATTTCTCTGTCACCATAGGTGTATAAACTAAATTATAATATTAAAATTTTTTATGTAATTTAAGTAATTACTTCCGGTTTACCTTTTATTTGAGAATAAGACTTCTTAAGAGAATATATTGCAAATACAGTAAATTTGTTGTTTCATCAAAATTTCTGTATCATCGGTATAATACTTGAAATAACAAACATTTATTAATTTTAAATAATTTTTCTGTGATTAAAAGTGAATATAGTTATGTATTTCTTGTGATAAACATATCTCATTAAAACAATAAGAATAAATTTCT